AGCAATGCTACCTTACCCGCTCCGGAACGCCAGACACCTACGGGCCCTGCCCGACAAAGTGGGCGTGGGGCACCCGAGCAACCCGCTCCTCCAAGCCAACCAGCGGGCTCGAGTACTGCCCCGGGGATTCACCCAGATCGCCTTAGAAATCTTGTCAACGAACCTGCAGCCCCCGCTGCTGCTCCATCGGGTCCTCGCGGATTAGGCCCACAACAACCACCTCGGGGACCCTCTGCTCAGTCTGGGCAGTCCGGGCAGTCCGGGCAGTCTGGACCACCTGGACAAGGCTTCGGTGGGGAGCGTGGCCGTGGTGATAAACGTTTCGCAGGCCTCAACAATGTGCTCCAGCAGTCTGGCGGTGGTAGTGGTGACCGAGTTGGGAACACTCCTGTTCGCGGAAGAGGCGCCAATCGCCCACCAAGCACCATGGAGGCACCATCTCCTCAGCCTGCAAACCGTCCACCCATGGGTCCTGCAGGACCCCAAGAAGATCAATCCCGTAACCGATCCAACGGTGGCCGAGGTGGCGACCTCCTTGATGATGCCGTTCCCGAGGCGGGTCGCTCTGGATCAACTGGAAATCGTACCCGTGAAACAGAGCCTACTCGCGAGAAAGAGCCCGAGCGCCGTGAGGGCAGCAGCAATGGTCGCAATCGACGCGATGGCCGTCGAAATGACCGTGAACGCAGCCGTCGAAGCGATGTAGGTGGCGGAAGCCGCGACGACAAGGGCACTGGCGAGCCCCGTGAGACCCTGCGCCGAGTTCAGAGCTCACGCGAAGAGCTGCGACGTCGAGACCGACGTGACCGCCCAGATGGACCGCCAGGAATGACTGGACCAACACCTAGCAGTGAGACCCATGATGAAGGTCGTGTGCGACCCACGTCCTCTATGGAGGCACCGCCACCACCCCCTCCTCCTCCACCTCCGCCCATGCCGGAAGGAAACGAGCGTCGTTTCAATTCTGGCGAACGGGGTAGCCGGTCCGACAATCGGGATCGCGAGCGCGAGCGCCGTGGCGACCGACGTGACCGGGATCACCAGCGCGAGGGTGGTAGCTCTGGGGGCTCTGGGCACCGTAAACGTGGTCGACAGGGCCCTGACGATGGCACTGACGGTGGACGCGGCATGAGAATGGGAAATGATAACAAGCGTCCTCGCCGAGGAGCGTGATCCTCACCATTTACCATGATACCCCATTGAAAGGAATGGACTTTGCTTTTTTTTATGTTCTTTTGCTACAAACCTCAAGTTCCTCTACACTGGACTTCTACTGTTTCCTATCTTGACTTTGCATTTTGCGTGGTGTTTGGGGACAAACCACTTCACTTCTTCACATGTACTTTTTCTTCTTCTTCTAAATGAACGTAACCGAAATGCAATATCCAAGGATCTTCCTTAATTAATAATTTCTTTCCATCTCCGCGGTTCTCCGTACTCCGTCTCTCCAGGCTCAGCGGTCCAATATGTATCCGACGTGCCCCGCCCTACCGTCAGTCGGGTAAACTTCGGTTCGCAACTACCTCCGTGCCCCTTTGAGAGAGTTCTCTTGAGAGAGCGAGTGGATGATCAGCCCTAACATCTTGGAATATCATTTGTTCAAGTCCTGGTGTCATATATGTAGCCATTGTCATTGGATACGATTCCACAGCTTCCCCGCCTACACGGGCTGGTTTCACAATCCGACGCTTCATACATTGAAGGCCTGAACTCTTTAGTTTTGCGTATAAAAGATTGATCCTGTTCTTATTCTTCTTTTTTTCCGTTTGGATACCGAGTGTATCACTTTTCTATCTTTGGGATCAAGAACCTCGAGCTCATTGGACAGCTTCATTCTTATCTTGCAATTGAACAAGAGCGCAAGCAATTAATATACCCCCCCCCCCCAAAAGAGAAAAGAGAGCTGCTACATCATGCCTCGAATCGACGTTGAAAAATCCATCGAGGAGCTCACCCTCGGCGAGAAGGTGGCCCTCACAGCCGGTAAACCCGCTTCCCATTGCCAAAGATACAATCAATCCAAACTAACCTCACCCTAGGCCGTGACTTCTGGCACACACATTCCGTCCCACGCCTCAACATCCCCTCGCTACGCATGTCCGACGGACCAAACGGCGTCCGAGGCACCCGCTTCTTCAACGGCATTCCAGCCGCCTGCTTCCCGTGCGCCACCGCGCTCGGCGCAACCTGGGATACCGAGCTCCTCTCAGAGGTCGGCGCACTAATGGGCGAAGAAGCGATCGCAAAAGGCGCGCACATCGTGCTAGGTCCGACGATCAACACCCACCGCTCGCCGCTAGGTGGGCGCGGCTTCGAGTCTTTCTCGGAAGACAGTGTGCTCTCCGGCACGCTGGCTGGCCACTTCTGCAAGGCGATGCAGGAGAAGGGCGTTGCGGCTACTCTTAAGCACTTTGTCTGCAATGACCAGGAGCATGAGCGCATGGCTGTTAGCAGTATTGTTACTAACCGGGCGCTGCGGGAGATTTATCTCATGCCGTTTCAGTTGGCTATGCGCATTTGTCGCGCGCAGTGTGTTATGACGTCTTATAATAAGGTCAATGGGATTCATGTAAGCGAGGACAAGGCTCTTATCGATGATATATTGCGCAAGGAGTGGGGGTGGGAGGGGCTTGTTATGAGTGACTGGTGAGTTACGGTGATGGGTTCATTCTGTTATTTCGGAGGCTCACGTTTGGTTTTTGTTTGTAGGTTTGGTACCTACAGTACCTCGGATGCTATTATCGCTAGTCTTGATATTGAGATGCCCGGTAAGACCCGCTGGCGTGGTGATGCTCTTGCGCACGCCCTCTCTGCAAACAAGGTGGCCCAATACCAGCTCGATGAACGAGTGCGCAATATCCTCAATCTGGTGAACTGGGTTGAACCCCTGGGAATTCCCGAGGGAGCACCTGAGAAGGCTCTCAACCGGCCACAAGACCAGGCTCTGTTGCGCCGCGCTGCTGCCGAGTCTGTCGTGCTTATGAAGAATGAGGGTGATATTCTTCCCCTTAAGAAAGATGGGTCGCTGCTGGTCATTGGACCCAACGCTAAAATTGCTGCGTACTGTGGTGGTGGCTCGGCCTCTCTGGCTCCGTACTACACTGTCACGCCGTTCGCTGGTGTCTCTGCCAAGAGCAAGGGAGAGGTCAAGTACAGCCAGGGCGTGTACTCCCACAAGGACCTGCCGCTTCTGGGTCCACTACTGAAGACTGCAGACGGCAAGCCCGGCTTCACATTCAAGGTCTACAATGAACACCCCAACTCTGGCGAAGACCGAGAGGCCGTGGACGAGCTGCATCTGCTCGAATCCTCCGGCTTCCTGATGGACTACGTCAACCCTCGGATCAAGTCGATGACCTACTACGTCGACATGGAGGGAACATTCACGCCCGAGGAGAGCGGAGTCTACGACTTCGGCGTGACAGTCGTCGGCACCGGCCAACTCCTCATCGACGGCGAATTAGTCGTCGACAACACCAAGAACCAAAAGCAAGGCTCCGCCTTCTTCGGCACAGCCACCATCGAAGAAATCGGCACCAAAGAGCTCAAAGCCGGCCAAACATACAACATCCTCTTCCAATTCGGCAGCGCGCCAACCTCCGACCTAGACACGCACGGAATCGTCGCCTTCGGCCCAGGCGGCTTCCGCTTCGGCGCCAGCCGCCAAGTAAGCCAAGAAGAACTAATCGCCAACGCCGTCGAGCAAGCCAAAACTGCCGACCAAGTCGTCATCTTCGCCGGCCTCACCCAAGAATGGGAGACCGAAGGCCACGACCGCGAACACATGGACCTACCCCCAGGCAGCGACGAGCTGATCAGCCGCGTGCTAGCCGTGCACCCGGACACAGTCGTCGTGATTCAGTCCGGCACGCCGGTCACCATGCCCTGGGAACACAATGCCAAAGCCCTCGTGCAAGCCTGGTTCGGCGGCAACGAGTGCGGGAACGGAATCGCGGACGTCCTCTACGGCGACGTGAACCCCTCCGCCAAGCTGCCGCTCACCTTCCCGCGCCTTCTGCGCGATAACCCCTCGTACCTGAACTTCCGGTCCGAGCGCGGTCGCGTCCTCTACGGCGAGGACATCTACGTCGGCTACCGGTTCTACGAGAAGAGCGATGTGGCGCCGGGCTTCGCGTTCGGACATGGTCTTTCGTATACGAGTTTTGCGCGCGAGGATCTGCGCATCGATACTGTTCCTGAACAGAGTAAGTATGCGGAGTCTGGGGAGCTGGTTACTGCGTCCGTGACGGTCTCTAATACGGGTGATGTGGCCGGCGCCGAGATCGTGCAGCTCTGGATCGTGCCGCCGGAGACGGGCGTTGGTCGTCCGGTGCGCGAGCTTAAGGCTTTCCAGAAGGTTTTCTTGCGGCCTGGTGAGAGGAAGACGGTGCAGTTGGTTGTTGAGAAGAAGTTGGCTACGAGTTGGTGGGATGAGGAGCGGGAGCAGTGGATTTCCGAGAAGGGGACGTACCAGGTTCTTGTTACGGGGACTGGGACTGAGGAGCTGCGCGGTGAGTTTGAGGTTGGGAAGACGAGGTTCTGGCTGGGTCTGTAGGGCTGTGGTATTTTTATTTGTGTTTGTCTTCATATAAGACCATGTCTCATGAGTGATGTTATTTTTAATCTGTGGATGTTGGCTTGGCATATGGTCATACGAAATTTTAATCCACATGTTTCGGTATTTTGAATTGGATTTTCTATTTTATTGTGGATTTCGAGAAATGGAACCTGGTGAAGCACTGGTTTAACTAAGTAGAAAGTGTGGTGTGTTGAAATGAACATAACTGACATGAAGCTGCGAAATAAAGTAACAAAATACATGAACATCCCCAGAAACCAGCAATAGATATGATAAATGGTACAAGAACAAGAAAGAAAAAGGGTATCTACGTAGAACAGAATAGACACCTAATATCAAAAGCCACGAATACGCCTCCCAGGGCAAAGGAATCAAAAAATAACACCTCAAATCCCTGCAATGCATATTAAAACCACAAACCTCATGACCTACTGCCATCAATAAACTCATTCCCATTGTCATTATCCTTCTTCCTCCCCAGCCCAGCCAACTTCCTCAGCAAGAGCGAAGCTTTATTCCGCCGGTTGTTTTTCGGTAAATTGGGCATATCAACCGAGTAAATACGCTCCTGGTGCTTACCATCTGCCAAGCAAGGAGACGAGTAAGACATGCCACGGTTGGGATCGGCAAACGGTGGATATAAGTATCCGCCAGGGGAATCTTCCTCATTCGTCGAAGCACTACCCAATCTCGAGATACCTGTTTCGGGTCTCGACAATGTCTCTCTTCCAGAGCCTAGTAGCGAATCTGGTGTGACTTTGCCGTGGACATTTAGGTCCCGATCCTCCCAGAAATCCTTCGGCGGCCATTCACGGGAGCGTAATGACCCTGTTGTTCGGTTGCAGGAACTGTAGAAGCGCGCCATTGGCTTTGCCTGTTTGGCTTCGGTTGGCGCATTTTCGTCGATGAGACAGGGGATGTCTCCGCTCACGTGAAGCCAGGTTCGGCCTGTCCAGCCGAGAGGTGCTTCGTGTGGGGAGATGGCCGGGGAGAAAGTCTCGGGGATCGCATTTGTGTCGGTGGCAATCTCGTGTGGATGTGTCTTGAGCTCGGACTCCGTGACTTCGAATCTTTTGTCGGTGTCATTGAGCGAGCTGACTGGGCTGTGGAGTGTTGTGGGCTTGGATGTCCATGTCCACTCGCTGTTCATTTGGAGAGGACTGTAGAATGGAATCGAGCTTGGAGAGCAAGTTCGCCCCCTTTCCTTATCTTCGATTGTTATTTCTAGACTCTGGCCCTGGGAGCGGGTCCCTGGTGATGGGCTATGTGGCGGTGAGGCAGAGGGTTGTTTGTTATAGAACCGTGCTGAGGTGTTGGTGCCCGACACGCTGTTGCCCGACGGTCTCCTTATCTGGCTGGGAGAATTGATCATACCAACGCCGGAATCATGTCTCTTGGTGCTTTCTGCTTGGAGGTTGATCGCCGACAGAAGAACGACATGCTGTTTTAAAGAAGGAGCTGCGTCGACACTGGGCTGATTTTGTCCGACTGTCACGGCGCTGCGATAGGACAATCCAGCTGGCATTCCACGGTCAATGCTGTGCGATAGCATAGCGCATGCATGCTTGATATCATCTTCGAGGTCTTCTTCGATCTCTTGGCGGTCGATAAACGGTGATGCAGGACGGAAGTAGCCCGGCTCATCTGTGAAACTGTAGCCCCCGGTGGGACCAGGGTCCCTGTGCCATGTGGGCTCGGCGTGGGTGGGAGACTCGGGGTTTGTTGCTGACCGGGGACGACTGCTGGGTGGGCTGACTTCAATGGGCGAGACCAGTGTTGGTTCCAGAGCCCGCGCGGAGTTGCTTCTGGTGAATGTCAGACGGTGGCGTATTTGGGATGCTTTTGCTGATAGCTTGTGTTCCATCTCGTAACGGTTTGTCTTTGTTTGTGTCTGATGGTCAAGCAAACAATGAAAACGAAAGAGAGATAGAGGAAAGAGCGCCGACAATCAGTGAAAATGGCCACTGATTCCAGGGCAGTCCACTGCAGCCCAAACGACTGGCTCTACACCTGCAGATCAGATCCAGGCAATTTCCAAACTATGTGAGGTCGTAAGAGGGAAAATTCAAGAACCGTTGTCGGCACAACTGTCTGGTATGCGGGGGGAGGGGAATGCAGAGCAGGAACATAGTAGAAGAGAGACCCTGGGAATACGAGATAATAAGAAAGAAAAGGGAAAGATAGTGATCTTACTAGTAGTTCTGCACAGAACTATCGTCCACTTAGATAACACTCGATATCCCCTTTCGGGCCTTGTTCCTGTTTTCTACACAATAAAATTGAAAAATCTAAGACATTCCTATCCAAAGCTATCTAGCTCACCCGGCTAAACCAGTTAGATAGGTTAATAACGCCCATATTGAAAAGGGTCTAAGCGCCCAGTACACATGTAGTTAGAGCAGGGTGCTAGTGTGACTCAAATCGAGGACTTTTTGCGCCAGTGACATCTAGACGAGTCTTCTTCGCAGTTAATTACTTGAACCACGGGTTATCAGAAACATGGCCTATAGACAAGGTGTATATTAGGTACAACATAGCCTCCGTACCTGATTCCAACCGTAATTAAAAGCATCAATAGCAGAATAACAGAAGAGCAGAGCAGAATACCCTGGGCCCTGAAAAGCCCCGGGCCGCCACCTAATCTTGTTTCTGACCATTCAGCTCGGGCCAAGTTATCTTTGCCCTGGAGCTACGGAGTTGCGGATCTACGGAGTACTTTTGTCCAGGTCATCTTCTTTTCTGATTTATTTTTCTAAATAATGTATGTCGCAAAGATAACCAATGGCTATCAATACCGAAAACGGACCCATCACTCCCCGAGGTATCCTCCCGGGGGAAATTGACCCGGTGGGTCGGATGGAGAGCAGTTGGATGCTTCTTTGACAGTCTTCTCGGACAAGGACAATTACCAAGTGAGAGACGGGAGAGGCAGTTGGATGCTCATCTCCCTGACTGGCGGAATGGAAAAAAGAACGGCAACCCTACTTCCCCTGCGCCACGACATCTATCCGGTCGCGGACCCCTGCACGGGATTCTGGACCCAGTTAGAGCATGGGATTGGCTGCAGAAATCACTGCGCCTGACAATACTTTTTTTATTTCGCCGCTTTACCAAGCGGTGATATCCTCCACCTCGGCCTCGCCGAAGGTGCTGCTCTTGGTCAGCTTAGTGACACTGGCCACAGCGGCACCGTCGCCTGACTTGGCCATGATGTCGGGCAGGACTTCGTGGAAGAATTCGACGATGTGGCGGTTGACTTGCTCGAATTGAAGCAAGAACGCGTCGTGGCCCTCGGGGCTATCGATGCGCCGGAGGCGGGAATTGGGGATGCCAGCTGCAACCTCTTCTTGCTCCGCGAAGGTGAACAGACCATCCGACTCAATACCGATAACTAGAGCTGGCTGCTCTACGCGTCCGAGCGCCTCAGTTACAGTATCCTCAGTGTCGGCGCTGGAATTGCCGCGCCGGCGGGACACATCATGCGTATCGAGCTTGCGGGTCATGGCGATGTAGCAGTTGGCATCGAATCGCTTGACGAATTTGTCACCCTGGTAACGAAGGTACGACTGTGCAGAGAAGTAGGTCGGTGGACGAGGACGGCCGGATGCTGTCAGCTTGGGCTTTTCGTCGACCTCTGGGGCGAATGTTTTGGTGCCAGAGAATTGCGGGTCCATGAACTGGACATCGGCCTTGTTTGCAGGAGCCGGTGAGCCTTGTCTGCTCTCCGAACGTGAAGTTGTCCCGCCACGGTGTCCGTCGTTGTGGATGGCCCAGTGCTCGTTCGGGGGAGTGGGGAGCCTCTCGGTGCCGTTGATGTTCCGCGGCTTGGTTGGATCCGGTACATTGCGACCGAACCGAGACTCGAATGAATTGCGGCTACGGTAAGTGAGGAGTGCTGACATGCGAGCGGCACCGAGGCCGGTGGCTGGCGGGTCGTTGAACGCATAGTAGCCATCGTCATACTTCGGGTCACTGTAGATGCTCTGTCGTTGTGCCTCGCCCCAGCTGATGCACCACGCGGAATGGCGCGCCGAAGTCGCAATGGGCACAATAGCTCGCACATAGTCTTTGCCGAAAAATGCGTATTCCAAGGTGAGCATTCCACCCATGGATCCTCCAACCACCGCAGCAATCTGCTTAACACCGAGGTCGTCCAGCACGAGTTTGTGGATGTTGACATCGTCACGGACAGTCGTTAGGGGGAACTCAGGTCCATAGTAGCCATTTTCAGGCTTACCATCCTTGTAGGTCACAGCACTAGCACTTCCGTACGGGCTGCCCAGACTGTTAAGGCAGATCACGAAGAACCGGGAGACATCGAATGCTTGGCCAGGACCACCAAGAAGAGGACCCCACCAGTCAGCGACATCGGCACTGCCACTAAGAGCGTGGCAGATCACCAGCACATTGGCACCATTAGGAGCGAGTGTTCCGCGAGTGGTGTATGCGACCGGGACATTGTGAAGGGTAACACCGGATTCAAGTTTGAAGGACGGGATGATCGCAATGGATTGATCCTCGATCAACTGGGCATAAGGGTTCTCAGGTTGCGAATCGACTCTCTCTACGGGATTTAGTAGCGGTTCATTGGGAAGAATTGGGAAGGATAGAGTGGAGGATAGACTGACGGTATTGCGCAGTAGGGGCACTGCTAATTTCAGCCATTGTGAAAAACAACAATTTGCAAAATGAAGAAAAACAAGAGTTGGAAAATGAGAACAGGCTGTACTTGTAACAAAATCGAGTGAGTCAAAAACCCCCGCGCCTTGGAATAACTTGGCTTCCGGTCCCGCTGGCAGAAAATAAAGCGGTATTTGGTCACGTGTATCTTGTCACGTGTGGCTAGGGCTCGCTCCACACTTGACCTTATTTCTCATCTGTGCGAATTTTCTTCCTCCGTAGCCAACCATCCAACAAACCTTCTTACGAGCCAACCCCTCAAAACATTCAAAATGGTCAAGACTAAGAAGTCCGGTGACACTCTCTCCTCGCGCCTGGCGCTTGTGATGAAGTCTGGCAAGGGTACGCAGCTTTTCTCGATCGCACAATTCAGCAATTCGCTAACATTTTCTCTCAGTTACCATGGGTACCAAGTCCACCATGAAGACTCTCCGCTCTGGCAAGGCCAAGCTGGTCCTCATCTCCGGAAACTGCCCTCCTCTGCGCAAGTCCGAGCTTGAGTACTACGCCATGCTCGCCAAGACCCCCGTTCACCACTTCAACGGCAACAACGTACGTTCCATTCCCCTTTCCTTCGGGTCGGCAGCCTGAAAATGGCTGTCGCACCTCGGAGCCAGCTACACTACTCAGAGAAGAAGTCGGTCAAAACTACCACTTCGGAGAGTGAAGTTGCTCAGCGAAGGGATTACCGAAAGGAATCCCGGAGAGCGAATTGGACTAACTCGCCCTATAGATTGAGCTCGGTACCGCTTGCGGTAAGCTCTTCCGCTGCTCCGCCATGGCTATCCTCGATGCCGGTGACTCCGACATCCTGAGCCGTGAGGCTTAAGCGTGTCGCCCTGTTGCGAGCCAAAAAAATAGAATCTTGAACCATTCTTGAACAAAATTTTCCCCATGAATAATGATGAATTACGGAAGTTCCAAGCTAGGCATATTCTAGACAAGTGCCAAGATACTTGACCACTTGTTAAATGCGCTTGTCCTCGGACTCACCATTTCATAGAAATAGCCTAAATGTAATACCTAAAATGCATTCTATTATCATGAGTCTGCCCGTTCATGTCCAACTTAGGCTTTATCCTACCCCTATACGGCTTCGTGGCGCTGATCTCGATCCTAAGAAATCAGCATTGATGTCCGTGCCTCATTGAACCCCCCGCAACTCCGCAATCCTTGCGGGGAAGCACTGTAAGTACATACAGCCTGTATTGCCTAGCTTGCACAGATCACTCATTTAGCCTGAAGTTTTCCAAGGAGGAACTTGATCTCCAGTGAGTGATGAAGTATGACCAGAAACTCTGGCCACAATGCGTACACTCTTTTTTTTTGCCTCTTTGTGCTTTGCAGCTGCTGAAATTGGCCTCAATGGCTGGCTGCGGTACGCATCATTACCCTGTTCAGGCCAATGCCATTCCAATCTCCCGTCCAGTATCGTCTCCCTCAATGCGACTGAGACAAGTCCGGTGTATGTTGCGGGGACGGAGTTGCAGAATGGTCTCAAGGGTATTTATGGGAAGAGTGTGCAAGTCACACACAACTGCAAGACATCCTCAGTCGTTGTTGGCACGGTTGATCAATATCGCAAAAGCTGTGGCGCTGTGAACAGTGTACCTGAACTGGAAGAAGATGGCTTTTGGCTCGACACGAAAGGGGGGAATGTCCAAATCCTTGGACAAAATGAGAGAGGTGCTCTCTATGGCACCTTTGAATACTTGTCCATGCTTGCTCAGGGAAACTTCTCCAAGGTCGCCTATGCAACCAATCCTTCTGCACCTATTCGCTGGGTGAATCAATGGGACAACATGGATGGAAGAATCGAACGCGGCTATGGTGGCCCCTCTATCTTCTTCAAGGACGGTCAAATCGTCGACGACCTAACCCGTGTGGCTGAATACGCCCGTCTTTTGGCCTCGATCAGAATCAATGCTGTCGTCATTAACAATGTCAATGCGGATGCTACCCTCTTGAATCTCACAAACCTCGACGGGGTGGCTCGAATCGCCGATGTCTTCCGCCCATACGGTATACAAGTTGGCCTATCGCTCAATTTTGCATCCCCTCAGACTTATGGAGGGCTCAGCACATTCGACCCCCTCGATGCATCTGTCATCGAATGGTGGTCGAATATTACCACTCAGATCTACGATCGAGTTCCTGACATGGCTGGGTACCTCGTCAAGGCTG